GCGGGGAGGGCCACAAAAATGAAGGAAGGAGTGAAATTGACCAAGAAGCATTGTATACATATCCTGACTTATGGACTTTAGTAACTACTGAATATATAATATATATTGAATAAATATATACTGAATATATTGTATAACTACTGAATAATAATAATAGTCATAACAATGAATCTATTTCAAAATTTACACCTTACAGGTGTGCCTTTCTTAAAAATGATATTTCTGAGGATCCATGCAAACTACAGCTTTATTTTCCTATCTTACCTTTTACAAAGTCTTTTCCCCACTTTACCAAAAGAACAGTTTGTTTCTCACCCATCCAAGTCTTCCTATGACATATTCCCTTGAGGGAAAAGATCTCTGCAAACCTAACTCAGAAACAATTGCCAACTATGTGATTTTTTTTTTTTTTGGCCAGTCCTGGGCCTTGAACTCTGGGCCTGGGCTCTATCCCTGAGCTGTTTTTGCTTAAGGCTAGTACACAACCACTTGAACCACAGCATCACTTCTGGCTTTTTCTGAGTATTTTATTGGAAATAAGAGTCTCACAGACTTTTCTGCCTGGGCTTGCTTCAAACCACGATCCTCAGATCTCAACTGCTTGAGGAACTAGGATTACAGACGTGAGCCACCTATGCCTAGCATATGATTATTTTTTTCTGATTTAATTTAAAGAAATAAGGAATGCCAGTATAATTCTATTATTTTTTATCAACAGTTTAAAAATGAGTTTTCTCCCTTTATCTTAAAAATACCCCAAATTTCATTAAAACAATTCTTTATTCCTCCAGATAAGCAAATAAATAAATTTTAGAAGTTATATGCTTCTCAAGAGATGAGCAGCTAATACATTCCTTTTATGTTTGTTTGAAAATATTTTTGCTACTACCAAATCTTGTATCATATAATTATGAAAAATAATTCTGTTAAAACCATATACCACGCTGGACGCCAGTGGCTCATGCCTATAATCCTAACTACTCAGGAGGTTGACATATAGGAGTCATGGTTTGAAGCCAGCCTGGGCAGAAAAGCCTCCATAAAACTTTTATCTCTAATAAACTACTCAAAAAAGCCAGAAGTGGTGCTGTGTCTCAAGTGGAAGAGCACTAACATTGAGCACAAAGAGGCTTAGGGACAGTGACCAGGCCCTGAGTTCAAGCCCCATGACAGGCAAAAACTAAATCCATAGACCAAATAACAGGAGCTAAAAATGGGAAGTGTAGCTCAAATGAAGCACAATTACATAAGGCATACCCATTAATTTCCAATTATCTAAAGAAAATCATATGTATAGTTTTCATATGTATGTAGGCTGAACATAGCAAGAGCAAAAACTATTTCAGAAAGGAAGCAAGAAAGCAAGAAAAGGTGAAATACACTGATACAATCTTCTAGATGTCACCAAAATATATGAGTTGGAATATAATTGAAATGCTAGCATGCTTTTTAGTACTTTTCCAGTGTTTTATCCACAAGGTAAGGTTACACAACATCAACAGGTGTGATTAAGTGGCAATTAGATGGTCAATTAGAGCCAATAGATAATTCAGGAGTTGGAGATATACAAATATTCCCTGTAGGTCTTAGGGCTTAAATTAGACATTTTGACAATTTGAATATCTGATGTTATCGTTAAGGATGCATAAACCTTGAACACTGCTTCTTATTGATTTTTTAAAGTGTTAAGGCGTATTAAATAAGTTCAAACAAAAGGTTGGAAGTAGCTGGTTTGCTCAATAAGCAATTACTAAAAATCTACCTTGTCTAAGGTCTTGCAGAAGATAAACAGAAGTTCTTGACCTTGAGTACTTCACAATTGCAATGACATCATCCAATTATGTTGCTTTAACTTCCCTTATAGACACTAATGACCATCAAGTTGCTGTCACCAGAGCTGTAGTTCTGAAGGTCTCCTAGGCATGACAATCACCTTGAACCAAACCTAAACAAAGATACACAGATGCAGACACAGACAAGCACACACACACACACACACACACACACACATTCATTTTCCCCTATGTATTCACACACACACACACACACACACACACACATTCATTTTTCCTCTATTTATTCACTGCATATAAGCATTCTCATTTATGTTAGTATCACCTTCAGGAATCTAGGCTCTTGTAACAAAAATTTTAAGTCTTTCTTGAGTCTTTATTTATTTTTTTATTATGAAAATACTGTACAGAGGGGTTACAATTACTTGGGCAAGATAATGAGTACATTTCTTATCAAGCATTGTAGCCTCCTCCTTTGTTTCCCCTTCCCATTCCTTCCCATCCTCCCCCCCACAGCCCAATCACCCAATCATCCTCCTCCCCCCACCAAAGTTGTAAAGTCTGTTTTTCGACATAACATCTTGTACATCTCATTGTTGCAATGGGTCCACCTGTATCCCTATTTAAACAATTTGTTTTTTCCCTTCACCTCCACAAATTATACCAACATCAAATACAGTGAAGGCAGGGGTTATACTGTGGGGGAGGGACATACAAAGCAACAAAGAAATCATCTTATAAATGTGTTAGAAACAATCGTATGAAAGAAAACCATTTGAATACATATCTTAGGGTTCATTTTCCTAACATCACCTTATCTGACCTTTTTTCTTGACTCAGACATATACTAGGTATTGCAAATAAGGGACTTAGCCAAATGCTGAGAGCATTCAACAGGTCTAGTATGTTCTATCTCTGAACTTGAACCTCTCTTTTTCTTGCTCTTAGCTCACATCTACGTGAGAGTAATTTTTTGCCCCAACTTTATACTTTCATGCTGCTACTTTTCAATTCATTCTTGATTATTCCTAGTTCTCCAAAATACAAATTTATCTGCTCATGCTTGTCATTAGCTTACAGTCTACAGTGGCTCCTTTTTGTAGCTGATTATCAAAACTCCTGAATGGAGCACATGGGACCATCGTAACTTCACCCCACTCATTTGCTCTTCCAGATGTAGCTACTATCCACTCTTCCTGCTACACCAGTTGCAACGACATGTCATGTTCTTTCATATCTTTGAATGAGTTGCTATCAAGGTCTAGAGCCAATTTGTAACTTCTCTGTCTAAGGACTATTTATCACTTAATCACTAATAAGCTTCACCTGCAAAAGTCCTTCCTTAGTATCCCAGCTAAATTCAGTGTGAGCATACTACTTTCTTCATATCCTTATTATCTATTATTAGCTAATTATTATATCAGTTCTTGCCCCCCAAAGAACAATGAATGTCCATAGGACCAGTTGCTAAGTCATTTGTATTTGCAGTACATAAAATAGAATTTAATAACTCCTTGACGGACGAATAAGTTTCTAAGCATAGTAAGATCTCAAGAACCAATGCATGGTCTGATGCATAACATGTTACCTCACAAACATATAATTTTATGCTTTATACATCAGTTAATTTAAATTTAAAACAAATTATTATAAAAAGAAATCAATGAAATGGAACTTACTGTAATCCACATCAAGAAGTCACTCTGGTTTTATGTACCTAGTTGCCACTATTTCTGAATTCATACCCGTTAAATTTCCCTCCACAGCAGCTCAGTCTTTACCATTCCTAAGCAGGCTTATATGTGCCTCACCTAGTGTGATACTCATAAAGAATCTGAATGCTGAGAAAGGACTTTTATCCTTTGAAGGAGGGATAAATTGCATTATAATCAGAGGAAAGGAGGAAGGAGGAATCTGTAAACAATCATAGATACGACATGTTCCAGAACCAAACAGCAGTTTATGAATAGAGGCTCACACTAGGATTTCCCCTAAGCGGACTCTACCAGTTACCCAGTTCCAGTGTGAACCCCAAGGTCTCCAATTTATAAGATAGGAGAGTTCTACATGGATGTGATTGGATGAGATGCATGAAACTAACATGGAGAGTTAGACCTTAAAAAGAGGAGGGTGAGATCACTGACAGAAACCTCTGAGGAAACCCACATCTTTCTGATATACACTAGCTTACACCATGTACTCTCTGTGTGTCCTTTTGAATGTCTTCTCGAAAGAAAGCTCCTTTGGATACACCAGCTCTATTATTTTTCTATTGTTTCATTGCAGTGTAACACAACTTAGTGACTTGAAACACTTATTTATTAACTCATAGTTCCACAGATCTGGGTGAGCCTGGCTGGATTAACCTAAAAACTTCACAAGACTGAAGTAAAGGTGTCAGCTAGTCCAGGTGAGACTCCCAATACTATTCAAATTCATTCAGGTGATTGGCAAAAATAGGCTCCTGTGATAAGTCAGAATCATTCATGAGCCTTTCAGAGGCTCATGAAGTTCTTTCTGAGTTAGTCACTGTCAGAAGTGGAGGATTTCTCTAACATAACATTACTTTTTGGGATTCAAAACTCGGATTTCTTTCTCTGGCACCAGTTGGAGAATTTGCTTTCACTGTGATTAAACTAGTGCGACTTGTCTCCTCTCTTTATCTTGAAGTGAACTATGTCGTATAACATGAAATATTTATAACAGTAAAACCACCATATTATTTTCACGATTGATATGCAGAACATGTATACAGAGCATCAGGAGATCCTTGTCATCTTAAATTTCTACCTTCTCCTCTTTACTATTTCTGGTGACACAACTTTTTTTCCATTGCTAGAGATCAATCCTAGCATATTGTACAAGGACAAGCATTCAACCACTAAGCTACAGCCACAGCCCTACTAACACCCCTTACTGAGTTAATTGTCAAGAACAATCACTACCTTCCTGTCTATGAATTCTGAGTTACCCAACATCAATAGCTGTACTGATAAAGCAAGTTGATGGATTCTAATTTCTAAGTGAGAAGTCTACGTGCTACCAGAACTATTTCCATTAAACGCGTTTGCATTTTTCTTTTGAGTTACAAATAGAGGACGTTACTAATTTGAATAGATAAAGAGGATTAGCATATTTAACCACATCCTTTCAGTATCTCCTTGCGGATTGATCTTTATCTCCATTTTTTTTAAATTTCTCATTTAGTGCGAAGAGCAAACCACTTGGGGCCCCTGTGATAAATGAGTATGCTGATGCCCAGTTGCACAACCTGGTAAGGAGAATGTACCAAAGAACAGCCCTGTACAAAAGAAAGTTGACCGAGGGAGAAATATCTTCACCTGAACCCAGCCCACCCACTGGTAAGCATCATTTTTTTTGAAGCACTTGACCCTCTGCAGGTGAACTGAAAATACAGGCTCTATGATCCAGCAGCAATATCTGCATAGGATTTTGTATTGCAAAAGTTAAATAATAGCTATGCTTTTCAAAAGTATTGCATACTTCAGTATGCAATAAAGAACATCAGCAAATATCAAACAGGAGTCTGACAATTCTCAACTTTCCCTACTAATTACAGAAATATATTTATAAAAGTGGTATAAACTGTGATTACATCTATGCAAAATATGTATCTATATATAGAATAAAGAAGAAAAAGAAAGTTTGGGTTCATAACAGACAAAAATCAAATTAGTAACTACGTGAGATAGAGTTGAGAGGAGAGTGTGTTTTCAAAATGAGTACATATTATATAATGTTCTATTTTTTTAAGAGATGAGACTAAAATGCATTGTAGTCATTATAGTTGGAAAAAGAAAATTTTTGAGTTGTATGCTCCCATAGCTTGAAGAATATGTGCAGTGGATATGTTTTGGCACCAAACCGAGAGCTGGGTGAGTTTTTCACCTTTCATATGTATGTAATACCTCCGCCACCCCTTTATCAGCAACTTAACTTACTGTACATTTCCTAAATTCCAGTGTTACCATTACTTGAATATTTTTATATATGCCATTGCTTTATTTCATTATGCATAGTTAAAGTATACACCACAATGTTTTAGTATCCATATAGTTAAATCAACGTCACTATTTTTAAACACATGAGTTTGCAAGGGGAGGATTTTCAAATATCATAGCATCATCAAATCCCAGCTTCGTGCTCATGAAATCAACTTGTATTAGCTTAACCTATTAAAAATGTTTCCTCTTTTTCCTCTTATAAAGGAAAGCCCACAGCTGCATCATCAATGCAAGAAAGCAATTCCAAGCTAAAAAAAGAACCTAACTGTGGTGTCTTGTGTTGCAAATTCCAGAAGGTGCCTCTGGGAGAGCACTTAAAGAGATTTAGAATTCCAAGCAGCATAGATGCACACACAGGTACCATTCAAGGGGTGTCTCATTGAGAGGGCTGGCTATCACCAAGAGTCCTTTTGATCAAAAGTCACAGAGAGCTTCTGTCTTGCCACATTCCGAATTTATCTAGAAAGCAAAATTTAAACTATATCATCAGCAAAAGATGGTTTGTGAAGACAAGAGATAAAATATCCATGCTTGTTTTTAAAAGGCAGTCTAGGGCCTGTCTGTCCCTAATTACCTTTGAAAAGAAAGCCCCAAAGCACTCAGCAATAAGTGTACTGACACCAAAAGAAAAAAAAAATCATTACAACGTGTCCATCTTCTCCCATGGCTTCACACAGCTAATTATTCTAATCAAACAAATTCCCTCCTATGCCTTCCCATGGGCAGAAGAAGGCAATATGGGAAGGGAGGTGGGCTGCCTTCATGCAGTGATTCTTTAGTCTCCCCACTCAGAGCCACATCCTTCCTGTCATGGCCTTCTTGAGGCTTATCTGCTGAGTGTGGAACTATTGCCTCCATGGGGGGGTCCCTCTGACTTTTCTTGGGTTTCTTCTTTCCCAAATCCACTCTAGAGGTAGAATTGGATTGAATGTTTAACAGAGGCCCTTCTTAAAAATTGTTATTTCCAAAGTGGAATGCCTCAACTTAACCAATCTAAGCCAGAGAACTCTGTTAACATTCAGGCCATTTGAATGACTTTACTTGCTTCTTTTCCAGATCGACTCTATCTCCTGTGGCTCTTGCTTGTCACTGTGGCTTACCACTGGAACTGCTGGCTGATACCACTGCGCCTTGTCTTTCCATATCAAACGCCCAACAACACATGCTACTGGCTTGTTATGGACATTGTCTGTGATTGCATCTACCTTTGTGATATGCTATTAATCCAGCCCAGACTCCAGTTTGTAAAAGGAGGAGAAATAATAGTAAGTGGGGTTTGAGGAAAGAAGCTAACAATATCTCACTGGACTATTAAAAAATAAGTTAACAATAGTTTAATATAATGTTTGATTTGCTGGAAACCCATCAGTAAGAATAATTACGATGATAAAATATCAAAAGAGTCATTGAGTGCTCACTGCATACTAAAGAATAGGCATCTTTCTTGCCTCAGTTTCCTCATCTTTCAGATGAGGTACCTTGATAATTCCAATAGAAATGTTTAAATCAATGCACATAAAGTGCTTGAAGCTGTCTTGGCACACAGTGAGGTAGTATGAAATGTCAATTGTCATTATTACAGTAGTCAATTTGTTCTTATGTCTCAGTCCTTACCATGACACTGCAAATCAGGTATTAGTAGCCCAATGTAAAGATAAATGAACTGAGTTTTGCTGGAGGTAGGTGGTGTGCTCAATGCACAAAGCTAAAAAGTAACAGCACCAGGAGTCAGTGTCAGGTTTTTGTCTCCAAAATCATGCTAGTTCAAGCCGGCAAATTTTGCACAAATAGATAACATTTGAGAGTACAAAGCTAAGTGCCACAACTGAAAAGTCAGAATCTACACATATCTTAGTTACAGGATGTCTTTAATTAAGTGTATAAATTATCAACACAGAAAGAAAAATAATTGAGTATGTATTCTCCCAGTAGTCAAGCTTCAGTCTTAGAAACAGTTGGCTTCTATCACAACACTGTTTGCCATTCACCTCAGTATTCAAGATGAAAGAGAAAGGCATTATTTCACTCATTAGCACCTACTCAACCTTCTAAGGAGACAGCTGGCAAGAAAAGAAAGCACTTGACTGTAATTTGTTCTGGAGACAGACTGTGCTTGCTTTATCATTTTACAGTCAGCAGCAAGTCCAGAGCCTGCATGTGAGTATATAAATCAAGTCAAAGGTCTAGAACTTGGGGACATTTTACCTTAAAAAGCAATGCTTTCTAACTGGGTATCCTGGTTCATTCCTGTAATCCTAGCTACTCAGGAGGCAATCTAAGGATTGTAGTTGGAAGCCAGCCCAAGCAGAAAAGTGTATTTTGGTTTTTGTTTGTTTGCTGGGCCTGAGGCTAGAACTCTGGGCCTGGGCACTGTCCCTGAGCTCCTTTTTGCTTAAAGCTAGCACTCTACTGCTTGAGACACAGTGCCACTTCCAGTTTTCTGAGTAGTTAATTAGAGATAAGAGTCTTAACAAACTTTCCTGCCTGGAGTTGGCTTTGAACATCAATCCTCAAATCTCAGCCTTCTGCGTAGGTAGGAATCAGGCATGAACCACTGGTTTTTACAAGTCCATACCTATATCTCTAAGCACCTGTTTCTGGCTCCTTCCCTAGCTAACCAGCAGAAAGCTTACTTCTGATTGATGGACTATGCAACATGCTTCTCACAGTCACAGCAAAGACTGCACAGATCAGATCCTTCAGTGGCCAAGCAGAAAGAGAAGACTGAATAAGGAGTAACTTCAGCTCACACATAGTTTTAGAGAGAGAATTAGGCCCCTTAATGTCCGGAATATTTCCCTTTGAGTCTCTAGAAGACCTCTTATTATGAAAGAGCTGAAAAAAGTATCCTTTAGGCTGGGAAGGTGGACCACTGGTAGAGTGCTTGCCTTGAATGTATGAGGCCTTGGGTTTGATTCCTCAGCCAGAAGTGGTGCTGTGGCTCAAGTGGTAGAGAGCTAGTCTTGAGCTGAAGAGCTCAGGGACAACGCCCAGACCCAGAGTCTAAGCCCCGCAACCGATATGATATACATACAAAAAAAATAGTATCTTTCATTAGTGTATCTTCTGTAGAGTGCCCCCTATATTCAAAAGCAATTCAAAAGGAAAAGCCAAAGCTGCAGCAAAAATCTCCTCAAAATATTGCCTGTGCTGACTTGAAAGCATTAGTTATCTTACCAGCACCATCCCCCGAGTCTACTGGCAGCATGATGAATGATGATGATGGTGCACAAATAAGAAGTAAACAATGCTGAAAAAAGAGCACTAATTTCAACCTCCATTAGATGCACAAAGGGGAGAAAATCAATGTTTGACAAATGGAAAATGACAAAATCAGTAAGGGGAGACTTTTATTTTCAATTTTCTAAGAGGCCTTTGCACACAATAGAGTGTTAAAACCAAGAAAAATAACCAATAAAAACACATTCAATGGGCTCTATTTAAAATGCATTATCACAAGCTACAAATACAAAGCAGGATCTAATTGTTTTGTTTGTTCATAAGAACTTTAATGGTTTCTTTAATTTATAGTAGGTACTTTAAGACTTTGAAACTTGCTTACTGTTTAGTCCATAGACTTACATAACAGACTTCACCACATTAATTTGTCCATGATATATGAGATGAATATCACCAAAGTATTTGTCCAGCAAACAATTAATGCCTACATTAAATACTAGGTAGGCATATATTAAATACCAGGTAGGCATATTTACCTACTGCCTATGTGCATATATATACATACATATATATGTATGTATTTAATACATACTACACCAAGGTTGGAAGATGGAAATATTAACATTCTACAAGGAGTTGAGAGCAAACAGATGATTAGACACTGGTGATTCACACCTGCATTTCTAACTGTTCAGAGTCTGAGACCTGAGGATCACACCTTGAAGCCAGCCCAGGCAAGAATGTTCAAGAGACTCTGGTCTACAAACAGCCAACAAAAAGCCAGAAGTGGAGGTGTGTCTCAAGTGGTAGAGTGTTAGCCTTGAGCAAAAAAGCTCAGTGCCGTGCCCAGACTAAGTTCAAAACCCAGCACTGGCACCAAAAAAAAAAAAAAAAAAAGAGTAAATAAATGAGTAACAGACAACAGGCCAAAGGACTAACACTCACTACAGAGGGTTGTATCAAGTATGTAAGTATCTTTTCATTTAATTAATTTAAACTTTGTTCTGCATATTCTACATTGCAGACTTTGGGTTTCATGTCAATATTACATTATTAAATATTTACAGTAGGTGTGCAAAATTGGTACTAATCTCACTTTATAAGTGGAAAAGAAAGTGCTCAGTGAAAAAATTAATTTGCTTTCTATAAATAATATTGTTAGCAAATTATAATAGTGAAATTTGACCTTTGGTTGTCTCTGTTATATCATAAGTAGTCTAATTTTTATTGAATAAAATTAATAGAAATTGGAGTTAGGCATGTGAAATACAGAGAGTGGTTATTTTTCTTCAGGTCATCTTATAAACAGTACTGACAATTAAGTGACTGCACCAGAAGGCCTAAATAATGTTTTAACTACATAACTTTTTAATATTTCTACAGATCTTGTGATTGGTATGTTTAGCTACCCAACAGATTGTCTCATTTCTAAATAATATCCACTGTCAGTTCCAACCTAATTCCGAATGTGTATACAAGAATTTACATTCAAGAAACATTTGTGCTGGTCCTTAGTCTTTTAGAACACTTTTTTGTATATTTTAAAGTGGCTTTCATTATAACATTTTCATGCATGTACATAATGTATTTCAATGCTACTCCTCAATTCCTTTTTCTTGTATCCTCCCTCCCTCAATATTTATGTGTTGATAGTCATATGGGACTCTTTCTGAGTCTGACTTATGATACTTAACATGATGATCTCCATTTCTACTCATTTTCTCCAATGACATTATTACATTCTTCTTTATGCTGAATTTAAAACTTTGTCTACATATGCTACATTTTCTTTACTCATCTGTTTATGAGAACATAGGCTGATTATATAACTTCACTCTCATGAATATTGCTGCCATATACATGAGTGTGTGTAGAATTACTTCCGTATTTCCAAAGGAAAGACACTGGAAATAAACGAAGAATACTTGTAAACCTTCTCAGTTGCAACCTTCTGTTGCAGTCACTTAATTGTCAGTACTGTTTATAAGATGACCTGAAGAAAAATAGCCACTCTCTGTATTTCACATGCCTAACTCCAATTTCTATTAATTTTATTCAATAAAAATTAGACTACTTATGATATAACAGAGACAACCAAAGGTCAAATTTCACTATTATAATTTACTATTATTTAAAGAAAAATTAATTTTCTGACTGAGCACTTCCTTTTCCACATATAAAGTGAGATTAGTACCAATCTTGCACACCTATTGTAACTATTAAATAATATAATATTGACATGAAACCCAAGGTCTGCAATGCAGAGCAAATTGTTAAATTAGTTAAATGAATACTTACATACTTGACACACTTATTTAGCTCCCTCTCTTACTTGATACATCTCTTGAAAGTTAGCATAGTATTCACCTCATTTCTGCAAACGTGTCCCAAGGCTGCTCTTTGAGGTTAGAAAAGGAATTGGCTCAAGGATTTTCTTTCCTTAGATAATTATTTTTTAATCTGCATGATCATTGTTTCAGATGATATTCTTTTCAAAGGACTTTGTCTGTTCTGCATTAAATTTCAGAATTGTTTATCAGAAAAGGCAAATAAAAAATATGCTGACATCTGAGTAGAGTTTCTTCAAAAACTAGTTGATGGACGATTTAGGTGCAATTAGTATATTTTCCTTAAAGCCATCCTCCCCTGAAGAAACATTGCTGCCTAATGAGGAAGTTTAAACAGAGGAGAGAGTTAAATAAGGTGACATTTAAAAAATAACTGCCTAATTGTTACCGGGGAGCATGCTGATCCTCATAAAGCTAATGATGCCACATTTATTTACCACTCTAAAAAAAAGAGATTTTAGATCCACTACATGACACTTTTATTTAATCCAGCAAGTTTGACTCACATTTATATTTATTCAATCACAGCACTGTAAACTACTTTCAAAGTAAGTAGATAAAGGTACTAAAAGCGTTCCTTCTAGGTGAAGGGAGAATAGTGCCATTCAGTTTACAACTTGGCATTTGACCTATGTCTATTCTATCCCATAGAAACTTTGAAGGAACTGACTGATTTTCCTCCAGGTTGTCCTATAATTTATAAAGCCATCAATTTAAATGTGTCTCTACCTACTTGTGACTCCAACAGCCATTTTATTTAACAATACAAACTGTTCAGATAAGCATGTTATAAAGTTAAAGTGTACATGAATGTAAAAATTATAGCCCACAAACGGCCAAAAGCAGAGTAATGAGGAAGTTGATTAACTAAATTTTGACCCTACTCAGCAGAAGTTGATGACTTCTGAACTTAAACCTCATGAATGATAATTGTTTGGGTGATGTTGCTTCCATATGATCAAATTCTATTACTTTAGTATAATAATAATGTCTCATTAAAGAGACATGACAAGTTTCTTCTTCTGTATCACAGAAACCTGAAAATGTAACTTCAATAATAGCATTAGTTCTTTTAGGGATGAGTATTAAGTGCCATCCTACACATATGGAACATGAAACACATTTATTGAGTACCTATTAAATGTCAGACACTAGAAGGAACTGAGAAAACAGAGATTGACTATTTGTATCTGTTTCTGACATAGCCTCCGTGTGAGAGACAGACAAACAAAAGAAAAGTCTTGACAAAGATAAACCCATGGGTTCAAATCTTGATGAACAGCTGGATTTGTCTGTATAATTCTATTGCTGTAATTAAATAAATGTTTTGAGTTCTGAGATCTGCATGAGTAAAGAGTTAAGGTGACAACCTCTGACACATTGGGGAACAACTGAACAGTGTATATGCTTAGGAGATGCCTACCCAATTCAAGAGGTGCAAAAAAGGCAAACTGAAGGGAGCTTGGGTTTTTCTTTTTCTTGAAATCATGCAACACTGTAGGATTTGACACAAAAGGGACTGTTAAGTACTCAGATTTGTAGATCTGCCTGCCATTGTACAATATATAAAAGGGAGCAAAGACCTAAGACAAGGAGATCATTGCCAAAAGGAAAAAGTGGATGTAGAAGCACTTCCCAAGGAAGAATATGTACAAATGGGCTTGTTGGAAGAGGGCTGAGGGAAACAGAGGTCTGCAGTGTAGAGGTATGTACTCAAATGGTGTGAAATGCAGTGGGGGATCACAATGGAGATAATCATGGAGTTAGGGTTGGTGCAAACAGCTGACAAAAACAATGGAAGTAGACATTTGGTAACATCAACATACAGGGTGGTCTTTGAAACTACAAGAGTGGATGGGGTTTTCCAGGAAGTAAGTGTATTCCAAAACAAGAAGGAAACCAACTCTAAAAACACCAAAGAGTAGATGCTTTTAAGGACAAAATTGTCTCAAAAAATGTCAAATACTTGGAAAACTTTTATTCTTCTCTTCATTCTGGTTTCATTTCATCCACTCAGTAATTAGAGAGCATTTAAGCACTATTACTATTTAATAAAGCAGACCAATTTTAAATAAAGAATCCAAGAAATATGTGCATCATTTGGAAATGTAGTAAGTGCCATAACAGGATGTTAAGTGCCAACAGGACTCTCTGAGTGCCATAATTAAGACATTATTTGTGGCCTTTGCCCTGTTAGTCTGGATAGTATAAGAAAAGTGGAAAAAGGCACAATTGCCATTTTAGTGCCCGGAGTAACACCAGAAGTGAGGGGAAGATATGGTGGCTCTCCTAAGAATCTCAACACTGGAAAACAGTAAGGCAATAACAAAAGAAAACGAAAGTCAGGGAAGAGTTTATGTCTTTAAATGTGAGAGGAAGGAGCATATTTTTAGGCTGAGGTTGGAGGAAAACAATAGAGAGAAATAACTATAAACCTAAAGCAAAAAGGATATAACTCATGAAACTGGCTAAAAATTAAAAAGTATATGTGTGCATTTATTATTATTATTATTATTGCAGGTAGAGTCAAATGAATTAAAGAGACACTACAGGAATTCTACAAAATTCCAGGTAGGTGAGTTACAAGTAATTTCAAATCTATTCAAGTCATCCATTGTCAATTTGACTTTAAGTTCTATTTCTATGAATAAGTAGTCATACGTTTGTTCATACAAGTGAGACAAAGCACACCTCTCTCTTTTTTGACAAATTTACAAAATTTATTTGAGGGAAAAAAATCAAAGATGAGGCAACACTTAAAACTAGAATAGGTCAGAGATAGCTAATAGTTTTTGGGTGTTTTGTTTTGTTTTAAAATACAGGGCCTCACTAGGCAGCCCAGAATGGCCACAGATTTTACATATAGTCTGGCCTTAAACTCAAGAACAACCTTGCTGTCTCAGCAGAGTATTGTGATTACAAACATGAGCCACTATACCTGGCTTGGGACCCAAAACTGTTGTTTCTCAGTAATTTCATAATGTTCCTTTAAACGTGTAAATGAGAAATTCAAAATACGAGTCTGTATCTACCACACTAAAATAAGTAAATAAATAAATGCCCACATTCTAGTAGCAATTTAAATACCAATAAAGCAAGCTAGGGTGCTTGTTTCTTTTCTAAAGTATTCTAGTCCCCAAGTCCTATACCACAATTCCCATCTTTTTCTTGTTCATTATAGCAAAATAAAAAAATGAAAAGAAGCAATTATTTAGGTAACATGGTATCTTCTTTTCTTAAATAGCAATATGTTTTTGTGCAAGTACTGAGGCTTTAACTTCAAGCCTTCTACTCTTGCTCACCCCATACACACGTATATACCCCATACACACACATAACCCCCCACACACACATCTAGCACTCTGTACTTGAGACACATCTTCACTGTCAGATCTTTTTTTTTGTATATATTTTATTGTAAAAATGATCTTTTCTCAATAATTGTGGAGGAGTCTCTTTGATATGTCTGCCTGAGAGGGCAAATAACAAATATAATATTGTGTTTTTACGTTTTTGTTTTTGTTTTTGTTGGTCGTGGGGCCTGAACTCTGGACCTGGGCACTGTCCCTCAGCTCTTCAGCTCAAGGCCAACATTCTACCATTTGAGCCACAGCGCCACTTCCTGTTTTTATGTTTTTATCACTCATAAGATAATAAAGAGTAAAGAGAAAAAATAAAAGATGACAAAATATTGTTTATAAAATATTTTTCCCCTTTACTCTGAGAAACAGGCAGGTTACAAAACTTGTGCATATAAACTCCAGCCTCCTACTTTAAAGACAACAATTTTGTTACCTCAACTTTTGTTTAAAAAACTCAAATCTGGGTTAGGTCCCAAATTGTCCTGTTTAAACATTGACAGTGATGAAAATCTCATTCAGTCTGTTTTTTTTATCTTTAATACTTTCTTTTGTAAAAAAAAATCACTTGTACTTGGACATATTCATAAAAGATCTAGACTACTTTGAATTCTACAAAGACAACAAATATTATTTGTTTAAAAAACACAGAAAGCTAACTACAAACTCAGTACATTTTTAAGACTGAATGTGGATTAAATTAATATATTTAAGTTTTGTGTTTATAAATATAAATTTTGAATTTACTTAATTGTAATCACTTCTTTTGAACTGTCTTAGCACATCCTCTTTGACATTGTATTATTGTTATTTTGTACTTGGCTATTCCACTATAGATGGTTAAATTCTCGTGGGCAAAAAAAAAGGCCTCATGGCCTTTCTGCCTGGGCTGTCTTTGAACTGCAATCTTCAGATCTCAGCCTCCTGAGTAGCTAGGATTACAAGTGTGAGCCACCAGTGCCTGGCTCATGGTTTTATTTATTCTGTTATGAATAACAGCTTTCCTGGCTGTTCTCGGTTAAGAGTTGTTAACTTTCAGATCATTACAAGCCTTCCTTGCTTTTAAAGTTTCTATTACAAAAATCTGCTGTTGTTTTGGTGGGTGTCCACCAAAATGAGTAACTTGGATTTTCTTTCTTGCAGCTGTAGTATTCTTTTTTTGTTCTCTGTACTTACTAATGTCAACTTAACACTAAAACGTTCATTAGATTATACCCTATAATAAGGTAAGACTTCAGTGGTTGATGTTATGATGTTTATTAACTAATTATTCCCCTACTCAGAGAGTAAATAAAAAGTTCTTTCTCCAGATTTGACACTGGAAAATCTCTGCTTTCCAAAACCTTTTTTTTTTTTTTTTTTTTTGCTGTTGGTGGTGGTTGTAGGCCTTGAACTTAGGGCCTGAACACTGTCCTTGAGCCTCTTTGTGCTCAAGACCTGTGCTCTCCACTTGAACCACAGTGCCACTTTCAATTTTTGAGTGGTTAATTGGAGATAAGAGCCTCCTGGGGGCTTTACTGCCTGGGCTGGCTTTGAATTGAGATCCTCAAATCTCAGCCTCCTCAGTAGCTAAGATCACAGGTGTGATCTACCAACAAAGCTCCAAAACATTTTTAAAAATGAAGTAATATACCACATTTTCTTGAAACATTTGTCTTTTGAGTGACATTGGGTCTGATTCATACCTTAGCTGTGGTGAATAGTGCTGCAATGAGCATGGTTGTGCTGCTGGCTTTACTGTATCCTAGTTTGTGATTTTTTTTTTTATAAATTCCCAAGAGTAGAATTTCTTTTTTTTTCCTGATCCCATTCCTTTTTATTATGGTAATTTCACTCTTGTTAATTTAGCAATCAAGGAGTAGAATTTCTTAATCATGAGGTAGTTCTATGTTTAGTTTTTGAGGAACCTCCATATTGCTTTCCAGAGCAGTTGAACAAGTTTACATTCCCACCAACAGTGTTTTAGAGTTTCCTTTTGCAAACATCTTCACCAACATCTGTTATTGTTTGTATTATAGAAAGAATAATATCACATCACTTGCAAAGAAATGGAAGAACCTGGAAAAATTATGTTAAGTGAAGTAATTAGTCCCAGAGATACAAAGTTTGCGTGTTTTTTCTCATCGCTTATAAATATATAAGTAAATACTTTGGGTGGTACTCAAGAATAGACAAATGTACTAACTGAAATAAGGTAGTTTCAGAAGGAGAACTCATACAGTATAATTCCTTAGAAAGGCAATCAAAGGTCAAGAAAATAAACCTCAGAAAATGAGTTTTTAAAGGGGGTTGAGTGGGATCTAGGAGAGGGGGAGTAGATAAGTGAAGAGAAGAAATAAATGCAGTCAAAAGTTAAATGTATATCCTAGAAAATTAAGAAAAGTGAAAGAAGGGATGGGATGGGAAGGATGGATGAGAATGTTGAAAGATGGAACATTGATCAGGACACATTGTATTCATAAACTACTTCTTTGAATGGCACCTCTTTTGTACAACTACTTAAAGACAACAAAAAAAAAAAAAAAAAAAAAATCTTACCTTAGCTCCTATTTTAACCCCAAATGCTTTACAGAGTGCCTTATACAGAATTTTAGTGTTGAACAAATATTCAATTCAAGTTTTTGCAATGAAAAATAAATAACCTCTGTCTATACAACTTCTTCCCAAAGGGTTAAGATTAAAAATTACTATGACTGCATAGAAAAGTTGAATAAGCAACTTCATAGAAACCAAGGAAAGTTGTTGGGGGGGGTTGTTTGTTGTTGTTTGTCTTTTGTTTACTAGTCCTGGGGTTTGAACTCTAGGCGTGAGCACTGTCCCTGAGCTCCTTCTGCTCAAGGCTAGCCACTGCACCACTTCCAGCTTTTTCTGTGATTAAATGGAGATAGGAGTCTCAGGGACTTAGCTGCTGGACTGGCTTTGAACCACTATCTTTAGATCACAGCCTCCTAAGTAGCTAGGATTACAAGAGTGAGCTGCCCAGCAAAAGTTGTTATTCTAATTGAAGCAGAAGCCATGATTCTTTGGTAAACATACAAGTCAACAGTTCCAGGCTCCTGCTTCCTTATTAGTAGCATATTGTTCTAGGAAATGTTCTACACACCTCTCAACTTTTCACAGAAATCAATATCTGTAAGGTAAAATCAATGATGCCTGATGAAATGATATAATGTCTAAATAAATTCCTTTAGTAATGTGTTTATAATAGATAATTTTGTTGATCCTAACTACAAGATCCATTTCCATTATTGTTATTGTTCACATTAAGGATTTGAACTCTGGGTCTCCCATATGTTAGGCTGGTGTGAATCTAATAAGCCAGGCCTCAAGCCTAGTTTTTCATTTCATAGTGATTCATTTCAGAATTGCGATTCTTTTCTATCCTGACTGAGTTGAGATTCACCTACTATATAGGCTTCCATAGTCTTTAGAACATCAAAGGCCTGCCACCATATCCAGCTCCCTTTGGTGGAGATGGAATCTCATGGATTTTTCTGCTCAGTCTGGCCTATAAACATGATCTATTCAATCTCAGCCTCCTACTATGGGATGAAAGGTGTATACTATGGAGCCAAGCTCTAGGTTGAGAAGAGGTCTGTGAGCCTTTCTGCCTAAATTGGCCTCAACCTGTAATCCTCCCATTCTCAGACTCCAATTAGTGGTGAGTAACAAGCACTTGGCTGCAAGTTCTACTTCCGTTCAATGGTAATTGGCTTTAGAATTCTGTTATGTTATTAATTTTCTCAATTCCATATTATCTAGTCCACAATACCCTCCTCACTGCTCTTGTTTTAAGGTAGGCTAAAATGCCTAACATGCCGTATTTTTAAGACCACATAAATTTTAAAGTAAATAATTCCTTTATATAAAGAATTCCTTGCTATTGCACACAAAAGTATGCAAGTGTGATATTGTCACTTCCCTGATCATTTACCCTAGGAATTATGAGAATAAGAGAAGGCCAGAATAGTATAAATGCATGACAAGTTTTTAGAATGTGTGGTTTTAGCGATTAATAACAGTTTTTTCAATGTCTTTACCCATCAGAGTTGCTGAATAAATGATATCTTCCTTGTCTTATGTCTTATCTTGAATAATGTCTGCTAGATATTCCCATAGCAGCTAACTTGTAGCAAAATAATCCAAAGTAGATAAGGGGAAAAAGCATTGAGGACTATAGATGAACAACAATAGTAGAACCTACTCAATATACTGGAGAATTGTTGGGAACAAAAATACATGCAATATGTAATAGATTCAAACAAAATCGGGAATGGACTTGATTTTTAATTCCGATCTTGGTATTGAAAAGACTACTGAAGGAATGAAATGATCACTGAAGTATTTGGGAAAGCTCAACAAAAATTCTAGCCAAGGTCATAGCTAAGCAATAGTCAGGTGCGTGAAGGTGGGAATGAAATACAATAGGAATTTTTCTTTTCATGGACCCAGCATGCCTTTCAATGGCACTCTGCACATTTATCTCTATGAAATTTTGAATTAACAATGAATTTATTGTAGCTGGCTATCTAGGGGCATATGTTGGTATAAGACCCTATACACACTGAAAATTATATAAACATAATATAATAGTAGATGTGTTCTTCCAACAGCTGGATGTTGCATCAATAATGCCTTTTGATGTTTTCTACCTCTTCTTTGGGTTTAACCCAATATTTAGAACAAATAGGATATTAAAGGTAAGATAATTTCATTTAACTGCCTTCTTGTCATAATAGAAATATTGAAGCCATTTAAAACACCTTAAAATTATCAGCTATCTTATTTTTCTGTCCTTGTGAAAGCTATGACAGATTTTTTTTAGTAAAGTGCCATTACATCTACTGATAGAGAATTTTTTGTCTTATCCTATATCCATTAATAGGGATTGTTTAATCTGAATGACTAATGTTTTTGTATTTCTAAGTGCAACTATAATTACAAATGAGTCTTTCATATTTCTTCTACTTGTTTCTTTTCATCAAATAGTTAAAAAATCCCAAAGAGACTGTGTAAAAGGGCATACATGTAGTTACCTATAACCTTTATGCAAATTTATGCAATCACACCTCTTTGCATCACAAAATTGCATTCATATTTGTCTACAACTGAAAATGTTCATCAAGAAGGAAATAATTAAATGTCTTTCCACCTAGGTATACAAGGGAGTACTTTTTACCTTTATTTCTTTTTGTCTGTTGTGGGGCCTGAACTCTGGGCATTGGTGCTGTCCCTGAGCTCTTCAGCTCAAGGCTAGTGCACTACCACTTGAGCTACAGTGCCACTTCCCGTTTTTTCTGCTTATGTAGTGCTGAAGAATCCAACCCAGGGCCTCATGCATGCAAAGCAAGCACTCTACCACTGACCCACTTTCCAAACCCTGCTTTGTACCTTTAAAAAATATAAACAAAATCTTCCTTTCTTTTCTATGTGTCTGTCTCTCTTACTCTCTCTTCTTTCTCTATCTCTACCTTTCATATGAAGTCTCACTGTGTAGTCCAGGGTGGCCCTAAACTTTAATCCCTCTTCTTAGCCTCCCAAGTAGGAGGACTACAACCATCACTGCCATGCACTGCTATGCATATCAAGAGGAGATTTTCTTTTTTTTATAGTGTATTTTTTATTGTGAAAATACTGTACAGAGGGGTTACAATTACATGGGCAAGATAATGAGTACATTTCTTATCAAACATTGTTGCCTCCTCCTTTGTTTCCCTTTACCATTCCTTCCCATCTACCCAGATTCCTGCCAAAGTTGTAAAGTTCATTTCATTGTTGCAATGGGTCCACCTGTATTCTTATTGAAACAATTTGTTTTTCCCCTTCCCCTCCACAAATTTACTAACATCAAATACAGTGAAAACAGGGGTTATACCGTGGGGGAAGGACATACAAAGGAACAAAGAAATAATCTTATAAATATGTTAGAAACAATAGCAAGAAAGAAGAAAACATTTGAGTACTTATCTTGTGGTTCATTTCCCCTAACATCAACTTATCTGACAGTTTCTGCTTGACTCATACATATACTAGTTATTGCAAATAAGGGAAACCATGGGACCTATGTTTCTTTGGGCCTGGCTTACTTCACTTAATATAATTTTTTCCAAGTCTTTCCATTTCCTAACAAATGGTGCAATGTCATTCTTTCTGATGGAGGCATAGAATTCTGTTGTGTATATATACCACATTTTCTTGATCCATTCATCTACTGAGGGGCATCTGGGTTGGTTCCATATCTTAGCTATAGTAACTAATGCTACAATAAACATAGTTGTGCTGGTAGCTTTAGTAAGGTCTTGTTTGTGATCATTTGGGTAAATGCCCAAAAAGGAGGGGATTTTCTACAGAGTAAAATGGAAAGACTTCCAAATTAAATTGCTAAGTAAAAGGTAAAACAGGCTAGATACAGAACCATCTATAGCATAATACTATTGTCCATGTTACAAAGAAAGGAAAAAATACCCAGGTTTTCCAGTAAATACCTAAAGACTACCAAAAACAAAACAAAAAGGAAAGGATAAAAGTAATTAATGGAAAAAAGAAGGCAAATCAGGATAGTTGGGGCATGAAGAAGAGGAAGACTTCTGAAGATATATGTTTAATATTGATTTTAGAACTATAAAATTATCTACTTAAAATTTTCATGAATATTTCATAATACATCATCTTTTTAGTTACCTATCAGGGTTTGAAATTTCATATAAATCTTTAAGAATAGCAAGGATAATTTGACTCTCCAAAGATAGCCTTTAAAAAAGCATAAAAGATTTTATAAAATTTAGTTGACTATCATTTTTTATCTTGGAAAGAAAAGATACTATGGCATGGTGACACTAGTGTATCCTGAAGCAAATCACACTAGCTGCCACTTGTTTAATACACCCTTGGGCTACATACTTTGCCAAAAGAATAAATGATCTCATCTATTCCTACAATCAGAAATGAAGAAATAATAATGGGTTGGTGACGATCTATTCAGAAAAATCTACTGATGAGATGCAGTATCTGGACTTCATCACACTTATCTGACTATAAATTCTTTGCTAGAAGCAAACTAGCAGATGGACATCAGGCAGAAAAGCCCTCCCTTCCATGCTTTATAATGTGTTCTACCCATATTTCCACATATTCAAGACAACTCTAGGCACTTATTGTTTTCCTTTATAACATGAGTATAAATTTGAAGCAGAGCACAAACGTTCCATGCAGCCTAGGGTCCAACCATTCTTCATCCAATTTATAGTTTTACCCAAGCGTTTCAGGAGGCACTAGCTCAAAGACAATTACTTTCAGAAATATTTTGGTGCCTAAGAATTTGGATGTTTATCTGACATTAGAATAAAACCTTATAAAATACATTCTCATTATACCCCACCTCTGTACACCTAAAATGTTAGAAAGCTTTTTATTGCCTTAAGTTGTTTAAAAAAAATAGAGATTATGAAAGTCAACATAGTACTTCTTTACCCAGCTTTAAAGTCCTGAATGTCACTTACTTATAAGGATGTTATTGGAAGGGATATCTAGGATGAATATCTATCATCTGTCTTCAGGTTCTAAATGCAAAAAAAGTATGAATGTTGTCTATAAACATTTAAACTATATTTTAAAATATTTCTCTTTTGTCCAGATGCCCCAAAAGAAAGAATTACAAATTAGAATGAATATACTCAGAGCATTTGAGGGATATTTTCTCACTCAGGAATTTGGAGAGGGGAGAGTGAAACAGCTCATTTGCTTATATTTCTAGTTTGAAAGTTATGGCTATTACATGTACTAATATCAATCCTTAATATTCTATTACACCCACATGTATATTGGGTGAACTTTTTAAATTTTTTGTATATATTTTATTGTAAAATACTGTACAGAGGAGTTACATGAGTAAGGTAATGAGTATATTTCTTATGGAGCATTGTTGCCACCTCCTTTGTTTTTCCCCTACCATCCCTTCCCTCCCCACCTCCCCAACTCCTCCCTGCTCCCCCCACAAGTTGTAAAGTTCATTTTCAACATAGTGTCTTGTACATCTCATTGTTACAATGGGTTAACCTGTATCCTTGTTTCAGCATTTTGTTATTTTTCTTCCCCTCCCCAAATTAGAAAAAAATGTATATTCAAAAACAGGTGTTATACCATGGGGGGGGGACATACAAACAAAAAACAAAAATTCATATGGTACATTATCAATACATTTCGCTTTGCATCATCATATGACCATATGAGATGATGCTAAGTGAAATGGGTGACTTTCTGAACTAAGCAATCTAACATCCTGTCAGTCTACAAGATTCTACAATGCCAAGCACACTAATGCTATCAGTGTATGTGACATGTGTGTTCTCTAATTGCATTTGCTTTACAGAAGAGGCAACCAAGATTGAGAAATAGTAAGATATATACCAATAGGACTGGCATATGTCTCAGGGATTCACGATTTTACTCCTGTCTTGCACTGCATTGAAAAGGGAAGAGATGCAGAGGGGTAGAAGTGCATGAAGGCAATAAGAGTTGAGATAAGGTTAGAAATAAACAGGAAAGACCCTTGAGGGAAATGGCAACTCTCACTGCACCTTTGAAGATTGTGAAGAATGGCTAGCTGAAGCTAACTCTTAGTGGACTTTATATGTTGTCAAGAGGAGGAGGTAACAGTGCTCGATAGGAAATGTACTCATTACCTTACTCGTGTAACTGTAACCCCTCTGTACAGTATCTTTACAATAAAAATATACACTAAAAATGAGTAAATACCACATCTTGCTTTAAAATAATGTTAATACTCAGTAATAGAAGTTCCTACATATGACTTCAATGTATTGCATTGTGCTTTTCCTCTTTTACTGAGGTTTAGGGGATTGTGATTTAATTATTGTGAAATAGAGTTCTACTGTACACTAAAATGGAAATAGACAATTGCTACAATTAAGACTATAAATGGTGAGTAGAAGGGACATAAAGCAAAAAGCTCTGGAAGCTGTGTTCCATGCTACAAAATACTACTGCCCACAGAAAAATGCTATTAAATAGGATCAAGACTCAAGACTTTTAGAGATATATGAATAAAATCATTGCCTGTAACAAATAGCATGTGTTTTATGTACTTGTATCTGCTAGAAGAATCTGAAATTAATATACTCTGAAATTTCTTTTGCATATTTTCCACATAGTATACTTCATTTTTGGAGTTTAACCATCACCTCGAATCTCTAATGAATAAAGCATATGTCTACAGGTAATGTATAATCTATATACTTGCAGGAACTAGAAAGATAAATGGTACATTTTAGGCAGCACTTCGGATAAAATGGCCATCATACTCAAGAAAATGGCACAATTTCAGATTGGGGCTATATAAAGTATATTTCTAAAGAAGATATGGGTATTTCAAGTAAGAGAAAAACATGGAAATCATACCAGATTTTAGAAGAAAACTGGATTGAGAAATAGGACTTCTTACCTAATTTAGCAAGTTACACAAGCTCTTTTGTAAGTCAGCTTTCCATCTCTCTCATGACAATTGATTTGTACTCTAAGTTTCATTCATTTGCTATTATAAACTTCTTACACAGAGACCTCTAGTCACAGTTCATAGTTGCATAAAGACCCAGGAGAGCTTTTCAGAGATAGCCACTTAAATCAGCATGACATATTTTATGGGACTCAAACTGGAGAGGTGACCCTTGAGGCATGTCTTTCACAGAGTGACTTACACCATCTGTGAAAAGAAGGGAATATTTGGTTTTTACACTCTGTCAGTCCTACTCAAGATACTGCAGTCAGACAATCTTTCAAAGTACCTTCACTTCCTATGGTACTAATGAGAGCTAACAATTGGCAAATCTAAAACAAGGGGTTTCAGTGGAGAGTTAGAGAAAAAGAAAATGTTAAAGTAGGCTGTATTCCAGAAACCACATGAATCCTTACTGTGCATTTATTCCCTCTGACAGAATCATTCGAACAACTGGATACTTGCTGTTTATTCTGCACATCAATGCCTGCATTTATTACTGTGCTTCAAAGTATGAAGGAATTGGCACAACTAAATGGGTTTATAATGGTGAAGGAAACAAGTAAGTTCAATTTTGAAAGAAGCTATTATTGATTCTTCTTAAGTTTCTGTTTCTGTTCATGGATTTTTCTAAAGTCAGTGTCTTTTCATTGTCAATAGCAACCAATTCATGAACAGTAAAACCCCAGTAGTATGGTCACTGTATTTTTAAGTAAGAGTATAGAAGATATCAATCTCTCTGATACTAGGGGTCCATGTGTGCACATGTGTGTTTCCTGGGCTGGCTTGTGTTATACATTTCTTACTCAGGATTATGACCAAAAAAGTTTGGAAGCTTTTATGTTCAATATCTGAGTAATAGGGGATTTTTATTATCTCCAATACTGGTGGCTAGTAATGAACAATGTTAATTATTTAGAGGGCAGGTGCAATGATTAATTAGTTTACTACTGAAAGGTTTTATAGGTTTATGAGTCAGATATACCCACTAACTCAATTAAACAGAGAATAACAAGGATCATAAATAAAATTTGACAGTTAACTATGCAAGTGTCTGGGAAATAAAAGAAATCATTTGAAACATGCAATGCAAAAAAATCAGGATTCAGTAAATGGCAACTGAGATACTTATAAAAAAAAGTTTTCTTCATGTAAATATGAAGGCTTGATATAAAGTAGACATTAAGGAATTTCTGTTCCAATGAAGTGACATTGAACATGTTCTAAGGCAATTTCCTTGCAGGAAGAAAGTAAACCACAATTGAAGGTCAGCATTCCACCCTTGAGGTGGAGAAAAAATTATATGATAGAGTAGTAGAGAAAGTATCTTGCAAAATAATACACTACCTACCTAAAGGACACTGGATATGTACAAGGGATTAAAATTTTAGAGCTTTTAACAAGAATTTATTTTTTAAAACTTATGGTTAGAAGACCCATGAACTAAGAAGGACAGAGAGAGAGAGCAAGAGACAGAAACAGAGAGAAAGAGAGTGAAACCGACAGAGAATAAATCTAATCTTAGAAAGTTTATAACCAAACCTATAGGTCCCTAGCCAAAATTTATTAATAAGTAATTTTCTTTAGAAGGTGGGTTAAATTTCTTTATGTATTTATTTTGATGTAAATAACTAATTTTACAGAAAATTAATATACTAATTATATCAAATACACATTTACTACAATGGCTAAAATTTGAAGCATTGACAATGCTAAGGATTGTGATAAGACTAATCTTACAATTTTGACTCATAGGTTTACAGGTTACAGCCTGTATAGGCTAGGTCCATTACTGTGTAGCAACAGAAACAGGAGAAAAAGAGAAGGAAGCTGCTCACTTCATCACAGCCAGGAAGCAGAAAGGAAAAATTCCTACCGTAGCAGGTGTTTGCCTTTGTCCCCTGTCCAGGCCCTCCAGACTATAGGAAGGTACCATTCATATTTCGGACAAGGCATTCCTCTCATTGGCAATTCTCTCTTAAAATACCTTCACAGACACCCAGCGGCATGCTCTACTAATGTCTTAGGCATTTCTCAATCCAATAAAGTTGACAAAGCTACTAGATCTCTTATATATTCTTTTTTAAACAGTGACAGATTTCATTTACCTTAGTATTGCCTAACTTTTTATATTTTTCAGATTTACAAAACATAATTTTAACCTGTTGAAGTATAGAAATAAAGTTATTACTTAGTTTTACCAAGTACTCAGCTCCTTGTGATAATACACTACTATGTTTAAAGTTAACTCTTTTGCATGAGACACTTTGACCACAAAAATAGACATATTCAATATGATATTTTATTACTTGAATTGATGAAAGTTTCCACACTCTATCTTGTAAATCTTATTACCTTAACTTTGGCAAATCTGTCAAATTCCATTTGTTGAGAAGTCTTATCTTGGGAATTACATAAAATGGCACAACCATTTGGGGAAAGATCAATTCATTTATTTTACAACTAAACATACACCTACCTACAACTGAAAATTTTCAAGCTTAGATATTTACCCAAGATAATTTTTTTGGGGGGGGTCTGGTCGTGGGGCCTGAACTC